CTAATCCCTCAGAAATCTTCGTCCATAAAGCCACTCGTTAAGCTTAACATCGTTGTCTAATAAGAGTCCACGTGAAGGATAATCAGTAGGGTTCTGTCTACAATCGATGTGTCTCCACTGATCTGTTGTAGATATCGCATGGATAACTGCAAGTCTACTGCTTACTAACATTCTCGTTGTTTTCTCTATACAATGAAGTACAATTAATGAATCCGTCCAATAAATTGTGGAAGAAATCGGTATGCGCAACTGTTCTTCGAAATGTTTACCAATCTCAAAACATAGTACAGAAGCTACTAATTCCAGTTCGGGCATCGTAACAGGTTTCAGTGATGTGACTCTAGACTTGGCCATCAACAGTGAGCAGTAAACTTGGTGAGAAACATCTTCGAGATGGATATATGCGATAGCACCGTATCCGAACTCTGAAACAGTGTAGTTAAATATTTAACGGTTTACAGTAAGTAGGCACAATGCATCGTGGAATCCGAACTTTGTTCAAATAATTAATACTCTTATACTAGTTATTCCAGGAGGCAAGACAATCTTCGGACAAGTGTGCATCCCACTCCAATCTCCTTCTCCAGGTGTGTTGTAGAATTAATTTACCAGGCGGTAGCTTCGGCGCTGAGTAAGATATCTAGGCTTCACATGACAGAAGAGCTCTTCTAGTCAACTTCGCTCTAAATTCAAGCGTTGGGAATTAGATACTAGGACTCAATACATCCCATTCTATGCCCAATGTTCTCTCGTTTTTGTCTTTAGACAGAAGAATGTTTACGTTTCTTCCGGCGCGGTCTTCTTCAGGGATGAACCGCATTAATTGTCGGTCCTTGCTAGTCCACTTGTTCAGATGAGAGCCTCCTGGTCTTAGAATTTGCTTCAACTGAGCATAAATCAGCATAGCCTCGTCGAATATGCTAACACTAGCAAACAGACCGTCAACATAGAACGGTTCTCTAGCCATTCACATAACACACTTATGACCGTTGTCCGAAATGGTTCTTTGCAAAGCGAACATCACACAACTCGGCGAAGAAGTTGCTCCGAGAAAAATGTGCACTCTCATTCTGTAAAATGCTGGTTCTGCTCCCACCTCACTCCCGAACCAGCATAAGTATCAAAGAGCATTTCTATCATATTAGTTTGTTTATTAGATGTATCACACAGTCACACAGTGAAACAGTATTATTTACTGGATGACATGGTTTCGAACATAATTTATTGTTCATCATCATATCAATTGTAATCACACGACTTTGAAACTTGAGTTTTATAGTTTTCTTTGTCCTCTCCTGTTTGTCGTTGTTGTGGTAGTAGAATTTTCCAGATATCTGGGACAGGTGTTGAATCATTCCTATTACATGTATTTGCAGTTGATTCGATAAACAAAGCTTCTGTTATCAATCTCTCCCTCCATTCACCCTGTGACATTAGATTTCAAAACTGTCATCCTATCCCATCCTATTGTATGGTTGTGCGTAACTGCATGTAGTGCTGATTATAGCTGAACTATTCTCTAGATTTCTTATCTTATTCAGGTCAACCAACCTAGAGTTTGCTAGGTTTTTATGTTCGGCTAGTCTGACTGTCCCTGTTCTACCAGTTTGACCTGATAATCATTGCAGGGTATTAGATAAACTAAATTGTTTTGTTTTAAAGGCTCCACAGGATCCTTCAACCGACAAAGCTTGGTTCTAATTGAGTGTATTAGAAAAGGGACTAAATTTCAAAGTATCAGGAGACAAGCTGAAACCTGAGGATGTCATCCCTAAAATAGAAATAGCACTAAGTAGGATAGACAAAACAACGGCTGACGAAGTACGGGCACAATGTGCACTTACATCGAAATGAAAAAAATGTGGAAAGCCTAACCTGACAAAACCAGAAATAGAAGTCCTGAAACACCTTAAGCATAACAAGGATATACTAATCACAAAGTCAGACAAAGGAAATGCAACAGTAGTATTAGGCAAATCAGACTATTTGAACAAGGTGAATACTCACATACAAACAGGATGGCGCCAAGAAGTTGGTTGGTCTTCGGGTACCTGAAATAGAGAAGAGGTTAGTGTTGCGTGACCGAAACCACAACTGCTTGACGTTCACACGCGGCCTGTTTTTGTTTGTTTTTTCTTGTTTGGTGTGTCTCAGTAGCATATTTATCACTTCTGCCCTGTGACACGGCAGCAGGAAGCGCGGTCGTTGTTAATCCGGGCCCCGACCGATCCGGCATGATATTTGGTGAGTTTGTTTGAATCATAGTATTGGTAGCTGCTCTTTGTCTAACCGCTATCCAAACAACCTTTTGGATGGTAGGACCTACAGGAACATACGTTCCAGCCAGTGTAGCTCGTTGGGTCATAGCGATATGCAAGCCCGACCACCACGTCAAGGTAGCAGCTATCGGCCGGGCACATACAAACAGACCATATGAGCAAATTCATAAATCAATAGACACAGTTATGAATAAAGTCAGGAAATCCACAGCAGACCTTACACGCTGAATGAAGCCGCTTTTAGGTGTCTAAGTGGTTTAATTTAATGCCCAAAACTAATAACCCCAGTAGGATGTATGGTGTTGTTAAAGTTCATAAGTCAGGACACCCTATTAGACCTATAGTTGATTTAGAAATTCACCTACTTATGAATTATCTAAATATTTAGCCATGGTATTAAATCCCCTAAAAAGCCACTCGAAATCTAGACTAACAAATTCTTATGAACTAAAACATAGATTAGATAATTTAAAATTGGCTAATGAAGAGAAAATGGTTAGTTTTGACATTGTCAGTTTATATACACATATACCAATAAATATGGCTATAGAGGCAGTCAGAAACGAACTCATCTTTGACCAAGAACTCGAACTTAGGACGAAAGTGCCACTCGAGGACATAATGCTGCGAGTACAGCTATGCCTGACTTCCACAGTATTTAAATTCCAGGGGAAAATATACAAACAAACTGAGGGAGTTGCCATGGGATCACCAATATCCCCGGTTGTGGCAGATATATTCATGGATAGGTGGGAAAACATGGCGATTGAAAGGTTCACCACCACCCCAAAAGTATGGTGGAGGTATGTAGATGACACATTCACTGTACTTAGAACACAGGATATAGGTAGATTTTTCGAACAAATTATAACTCAAAGGTGGAGGCAATCCAATTCACTTATCAATTAGAAAGTCAGGAAGAGGAGCATCCAATGTTAGATTGCAGTGTAAAAAGGAAAGAAGATGGGAAGTTAAACACTAGTGTTTACAGGAAACCCACACATTCAAACAGATATTTGGATTTCCGATCATCCCATCCTATGTCAGTAAAAATAGGATTGGTGAAATGTTTAAGTGACAGAGCACAAAAACTAAGTAGTACCAAGGAAAATCTAAGACAGGAAGTGAGACATATAAGAGATGCCTTGAAACTTAATAATTACCCTGACAAATTAGTCAGAAAGTATGTAGGGAAATGTAAAAATAAATAATGATAGTAGTGATAGTGATAATGACAATAATAATGAAAATAATATTAATAATAATCATAATAATAGTAATATTAACGACGACATGCATGTCAAACATGCGCAAGACAACACCAACAATAAGGAATCTAAATCAACAGTAGTAATTCCATACAAGGAGGGAACCTCGGAAACCTCACGCAGAATTCTTAAAAAGGCAGGAATAAAAGTGGCATTCAAACCCATAAACACAATTGGGTTATCCTCCTGCTCGGCGCCACGGAATTGATGTTTAGTAATGTCCATCTACCAACTCTATCGATTCAGACAGGATGCTGAGAGGTCGATGATCTTCAAGAGACACAGCTACATGATTACTTGCGTCGTCAAACTCCTTCTAATAATATTTTCAGTAAACAAAGTATAATTCACCAAATTAGTTTCTTCAAGTATTTTATTGCATAGTCCCAATAATGTCCATCCTAAGGGAGTTTTCATGGCACAGGGTTTATTAGCTCCTCGAACCTTTATCAATCGTCACATGCACCTCTGGTACGTTACAGCCAATAAACATCTTAGTCTCTTTATTCCTGACATCTGGTAGGACTACGCCATGTAAGTGTTTGCATGATGATACCTGATCTATTGTTGGCACAACTCTTCGCAACTTGGGTAATTCCTTTACTGTCCATGCTTTAGACACAGTAAGCCGAGCAGAGGAATCTGGGAGAACTTCAGTTGTACCTGTCTGCATGATAATGTCAAATATAGAGCTACATATGAAAAAGAGTTCTTCTAGTCAGCTTTGCTCTATATTCAAGTGTTCGGAAACAGACACTAGGATACAATATATTCCATTCTATGCCCAAAGTTCTCTCAATTTTGTCTTTAGGTAGAAGAACGCCGATGTTTCTTAGGGTGCGGACTTCTTCAGGTACTTCTCTCACCAGAATAAGATATCTTATGCAAGCGTCATCTGAAAGTAACATCCTTCGCTCAAGAGTCAAAGAACAGGAATAAATCGGAAAGCAACACAACATCAGTTCCAAAATAGTCATAATAAACTAAACTTAACAGTGCAATACAAACAGCCGTTCGATTTGAACTCTGATCTCTCACAAGTCCTCTAGAGGTGGTTTTTGATTAAAAAAAAACATCAGTTGTCGTTCATAATCTCCTTTTATTATGCAAATTAACATGTACCAAATTCACTTTCAGAGTCAGAAGAATAGCATGTATGAAATGATCGATGTGTACAAGGAAAGATCATGTGCAGTTACAATGGAGCAGGCAAAAACAGCACTCAACAACCCTGGGACATTTGATTCATCCTCACTTCCATCTTGGAGTTATCAACGAGATGAAAGTATACAATATGAAAAAGACTAACTAACTGCAAATTTAGCAAGTGAAGAAATGAGTAATGTAAACTTGTAAACTGTATAAACTGTACAAATAAAATGTGTGCAGTGCAATAAAATCCAAATTTCATAATTCACTATCTCTTCTGTGCCCATAATTTGCGCCAAACGGATTACTCATCTCTTAAAACTGTGTCTCTTGAAGTATCCTCAACTGCTGGATAGGCTTCTACAAAGCGAGCAACCTTCGTTTCTAAATCATAAGAAACAGCATGTTCCAAACGCATATGTAATCGTTTAACCGCTGAGGTTTTATGTCTGTGGTCAGTTCTCTTGTCAATCATTGGAACGGGGTTACATGACAAGAAGGAAGTAGTCGCGGAATGAGCAAGAGATGAATTCTTCCCAGATCTTATTTTGAGAGGAACTGTGGCTAACTCATGAGTACTGCGAGTGCGGGAGAGAGTGACTGAATTCAACAGATATTCCGGGGATTCTGGTATACACGGTAATTCGAGTGAAGAAGCGGTTTGTGAACAGATAGTCTGCAAATAATTAGTAAATATAGAAACATTTATTATTTCAGTGACACCGTAAAACAAGTCGCTTCACTAACTGTAAACTCGATGGTCAGTATAATTCATGATTTATAAAGGAAATAAAGTGAATCCACTATACCTGATTTTAATTCCTACGTCTTAAACACAGGAAGTATATACTTTGTGCATGAATCATGTACATAAATGAAGCAAGATAGTTGTGTGAGTGCCTTTATATAATTATGAGTGACAGTTTGTGCTCGAAACGTCATCGGTAAATATTACTGTACAACACTGTATGATTTATCAAAATAAAATCTTATCCATAATGGAGTTATACTCATCCACAGCGCGGAAGTTTTACATTTACATCAATAGTACATATGGTCCCTCTGTATCAGTCGAATAGGACCACCGAGGATTATGCTTCGACTAGTAGATTTGTGTAATCTGGTCAGTAATTTATCACCTCTATATTTAAGCATCTTCACAACATCATCTATTATTCCGTGTTACTTTACTTTGATGCATTCTACAACCGAAACAGCCTCATCCACCATCAATGGAACTTGACTGATAGCTGTTATATCGATTAATGTCTTCTTTAGATGCCAAGTCGAATTAGGTGATTATTTGTCAATGAGATCATTCATTATCAATTAGACTTTAATTAGACAGTTTTCTAATGAATTGTTGTTTCACTGACCCGTTTGGGTCTTCAGCTTTCACTATGGTCATCTTTCTATCTATCCGCTGTCAAACCCAAGGATTCATTCACGAAGTAAACTGCATTCTGTAAAAATGAATCATCTATGTAACTACCAGTCCCCCCCCAAACAACTAGAGGTCCATCACATCACTTCGGTTAAAGGAATCTACACGATATCCCACAATGTAGTGCAGCTAACAGCATTTATCTCATGGAATAACTAACTCTAGTTTACATTCCTCGCCAGCAGTAATATCACAAAATGTATGAGCGCATACAAATGAAAGCAACATCTGTACACAATTTGTGATAAACATACTTCTGAGTCTGCCTGTCGTCTTATCACGTCTCCGACTGATCTGCGTGCAGAATATAACTCGAATAATTCCGTACCTTCTGGAACAAAAGCAACAGCAAAATAATAAAAATAATCGTAAGACAGCTTTACTACGATGATAATAATGGGTGCAGTGCAATATGACTGTCCCCTATCACAGTGACAACCAACAATGACAACAAACAGTGAGGCAAGATAACTTGAGCAGTCAGTAACCAAATCTAAGCTTACCCATTTAGCTCCCAACCAGTAGGTATGGATGACTCGTGAATTCCAATCACGGTTCCATCTCATCGTTGCAATAAATCCAATTTCTGCTTACTTCAATCAATATAAATCTAATTATTTCCTCAAAACTGATGCAAGTGTATCTATTCCAACCCACCTTAGGAATTCAATTTTACATACGACGTTACAGTCAAGGAGTGTGCAAACATGGCACCACCTACAATATCATAGGCATGATGTACTAATAAGTCCTACCATAACATACATGTCTCCACAGTTCCAAATACAGGAACTTTACAACAAACATAGTTTGAGGATAAGCTGAGATATGTCATACACAGCCACCTACCTACCTCTACAGTCTATACACATCAACAATTTAAAACATGCACACAAATCAAACTAGTCAGTCTACATACCCTGTGAACTTTGGAAAGTCCTCTTCACAAAATCAACACCTACACTCTCAAATTTTCTACTCACTAAGTGATTAATATCAAAGACTGATAATTCACAACACACAATTAAACACACAACACAAGTCGATACTTACCAACTTCACTTTTCCTCCCAATCAATTCTAAACGTGTACGCAATTCATTCTTCTCAAACTCTGCACGTGAAAGACGCAATCTATGCATATGCAACAATTCCTCCGTTCTAATCAGTTGCTCTCTCGTCTCAGTCAGCTGTTGACGAGTAGACAAGCAGGCAGCTTCCATTTCACTCACCTGCTTCCGAAACACTCCACACTGATGTTCCAGATCCTTATGCACACCTGTCGCTGACTCAACAAAACATTCAAGTTCACCGATCTTCTCACTACTTCGCTTATTCTCACATTCCAGCTCAACGATTTGAGTTACCAGTCTGCAGATTTCTTTCTCCTTCATTGAACAGGAATTCTCAGTAGCTGACAGTTGAACTGTCAAATCTTTATTCGTCGCCTGTAAACGATCAACCAACTCGTTGCTACTTTTCAAGCGCTCTTCAACCTCTAACAAATTTTCTCGTGTTTTAGACAGATCGCATCGTAACTCGGCCACCTCATTTTTAAAAGCACGTGATAAAGTTGACGCTTGAATTCCCTTCTCCTTTTCATTCCTCAGCTCACTCTTTGTATCTTCCAAAAGAACTTTTAGTCGACCTGCCTCTCGCAGACCCATCTCCTTCGAATCTTCCGCAAGTTTAATGTCTGATAACAGTTTATCTTTCTCTCGACGATGTTCATCCGTCATAATACTGACAACAGATTCATATTCTGAAGCAGAAGTAGCCAGAGTGTTTTTCAATCGTTCTATCTGGAAAAAAGTTTATGTGATGAAAATAGTATGCCGTGTTAAACAATAAAATGACAAAATGAATAATTAAAATGAGCAAGCATGTGGATAGTGATTAGACATGTGAACAGATATGTACCTTGACAAGTACAAACGAAAATATATTTCAAAAACCAATACTAGAACCTCGCTTTGTTTATTGGCCAGTCCTAAGCCTCCAGAAAAGCCGGACGGTTGGCAGCGGATGATTCTTAAGTCAATACACATATAAGCATGGAATATCCGCTAGATAATCGAGGGAAGGAAGGCTGGTAAGATTGAAAAGATATCAGGAGAGGGAACATTGAGGGGTTAGATACCTGTGACAGCATACAAAATGCAAGTGGACTATCAGAACTATCTCCGGTCGGTCGGTCGGTTTTCGACATAGAACTTTGCACATATGTGCGGCAGTTCAAGTCGCCACACTCCCTCCTTGTAGCACACAAAGGAAGAGAAGAAAGTAGGAGAAATGCATAATATAGACAGTAAACAGAGGGTAAACAAACAGAATATCTCCAATTCATACTGGTCACTGCAGTCCTCTATAGCTGCACCAGCCCAGAGATTGAAGCAGATATTCCGAAGCGACGATAGGAGAAAGTTTCGAAGGAAGGAGGGAAAGGTATCGTACCTACTGAATTCAAGAAAGGGTGCCTTCCTTGTGATACTACCGAAGAAGGGCAACTAAAGCACTAGCAAAAAGCAAGCCGGGATCATACTAATGTTCACTGCAAGAAAATAAAATATTGAGCCGTATAGTCCGTCCTAGAAAAGCGGGCAGATTATGCTCTGGATGAAAGACTTTTTGAGGAAGACCCCGGAATTCACGAAGAAATAATCGCGTACGGACCAAAGTGAGGCGCTACGCATCGTTATCAACATCATCGAACAGAGCATACCGTGGCTGTCAAATTCCCACCTTAACTTCATCGACTTTGCAATGGCCTTCGACAGTGTTGACCGCGAAGTGATTTGGAGACTGCTTCTACTTAACGCTACGGAGTGCCACAAATCCTTATAACCCACATGCAAATGAGCAAACCTTCAAGGTGAAGTTAACAGCCATCAAAGCAATTAACTGCAGATAGACCACAACACAAACAAGTTGAACACTAGGGAACTAAAGAGCGACGACGCAACCACGAAGGGTACACTCATTGCAACCACCAAAACGAAGTCGGAAACATTATGTGGCTGAGGAGGCAACCTGTGTACAAGAATACTGAAACTCTCTAAATGTAGTGAAGTTTAGTAATGAAGAAGAGGCAAGACAAGAAATGACTTTCTAAGGACACCCACCTAGAATTTAATAGAAGAGATTAGGATGGTGACACAGAAGATGAATCATCAATGCAAAGATGGGGAAGGAAAGGAGAAGCTGAATTCAATGTACAACGCACTTAATAAAGAGAGAAATGAAGAAAAATGCTGGAAAAAACAACAGACAATCCTACGACACAGTGGAAACTGAAGCAGAACAAAAAGGCTGCAGATCTAGTTACAAAGGAGGAGAAGCAAAAGGAACTTTAAGCTGATCACTTCACCACTGGACTACTGGGTCGACCACCACCTATCTGCAAGTCATTCAGAATAAACACCACCACAAACAGACAGACACAGAACTGGCAGGGAAGGGAATACCAATCTTCTGACAAGAGCAAACGTCTTGAATGTCATAGAACTACTAAAACCCAGATGATGAGACAGCATTAATTTGCTCACTCAGTTGCACGCGTAGATTATGATTCACAGCTTTCGACTCACTATACACCCTTTCGAGATCACTAAGTCTTAAATTCAACCGCTCTACTTCACTGGCAGCCTCATCGATTCTCTTCAAATCTTCATCCATCTTCACTTTATTATCGCCAAGATGACAACGCAGAGACGTCACCTAAACAAAATAATTGCCATTCATTTAAATCTGAAAACACACGAAGTCATCGTCTTTGTACATATGATAAACTTTATGGTAGAGGTACATTGAAAAGGTAATCAGTCGGTAATCCCTCAATAAAATAATATTTCCCCTTAACGACAACTAATCAAGTCACTCACTTGAATCCTCCTCATAGCAACACTTACAGATTTCTCTTCAATGCACATCTGAAAAATCAATATCTCTACCACCACACACAGACAGCTACATGAAAGCACCTTCAAACAAATCTTCATTCATAATTTATTTCAAAGTGTCAGACAAATCAATCTTCCACATTTTGAAACGCCCAAACAACGGCTGTTACCTTCATGTCGTAGCTACACTGATAAATACTCAACAAGCTGTGCTAGCTGTGACACTGCGTACTCAACATCGTATTGTCATTCTAACACGGGATCTATGCATAACAATAAGACAGTAATGAGTTGTAATGATTATTGGCTGCTCAACTATCTTACACGACCATGCCATTTTGAGAATGAAAGAGAAATTATCGCACAGAAGATGGAACAGCAGATTCCTTCCAATTACTAGCCAGTCCATCAGTCAGTCAGTCAGAGAAGTTGACACCAAACACCGTGTATTCACACTCACCCAGTCAACATGCAGGGCACCTAAATAGACGTACATCACTAATTCATTAAGACCTCCATTATAGGTTTAATTAATCGATAATCTATTTATATCTAGCTGAGATGTGACTTATGAGCGTGAAAATATAGCTAATAAAGTTTCTTACGATTTCAAGTAAACAGTGAAAGATCTACTAATATCTCTTAACACTATTACACGCCTTCATCATACGTTCCTGCCGTCGCTTTTTCTCAATCCTTCTAATTCTTTTCAACCTTTTATTGTCTTCCTTGATTATCTTTTGTCTCATGCGTCTCTCCCCACCTCTCTTTCTCCTCCTCCTCTCTTCATGTCCACAATCAACAAAGTTGTTTGTCTTCAAATAAGCAAATGAATTATACTCCTCAATTATCCATTTCTAATCACTCAGTGAGTCTGATCAATCTGCAAGAATCCTGATAAGATGATAAGCGATCACCTATTATTTATATTACACTGAGTATTTCAAAAGACCACCACAGTAAACGGAAATCATCGATTAACTTTTACATCACTTCGACAACTTCAAAATTAATCCTTCATCAGAAACAAACTAACGCAGCATCATAGTCAGCATACAGTCAAAATCAACTGAGAATTATTCATACTCACCTCTGCACTAAGTTTCTGATTTTCCGCCATAAGACAATCCACTTCATTCTCCCATTTGTGTAGGGCCACCTCATTCGCCTCTTTGATTCTACCCAATTCACCGGTTAACCGTCTGTTCTCACCACATAATTCACTTTGTCTCTTCTGCATCTCTGAGACCACCTCCTTCGTATCATTCAATCTCACTTCTGCATTTGAAACCTATTTTATGATATTTATTGAATTGAGTAGAAAGAAGAGAAAGTGGCCGTTCAGATTACTCACTTCAAATGAACTTTAATATCACATGTGCATATCTTCACTCTTCATTACTATCATACACTTCATAAAAAATATCCAACGTCTGTGCTGATCATGGTGATGATGATGACGGCGATAATATCGAGGTGCTAAAGTCGAATACAACTCAACCCAACACCTACCTACCTACCTACTTACTAATTATTGCATAGAAAGGCGAATTCAATGAGTAACATCTTCACTAGAATGTCTCACAGAAACAAATAACACGACACAGTATGAAAGTTATCCTCTCTCTCTCTCTTTCTAACATACAAATACAACAAGCCTCACAACTAGTCAGCTAGTTAGTTAGTTAGTTAGTTGAAAACAAACTAGTAAGTGAAAGCAGCAATTATTGATTCTATTCGTCATTTGTCTGTTGTGTTGTACGAAAAACAACACTATTCATCTTCACTAACTAACCACCACTACTCACTGAATCTTCAATACATGCTTATTTATATCGAAATTATCAAATTCCCATGCAGATATATATGTAAACAATCAAATTTAAACAATGTTGTATATGGAATAGGAGAAGAAATTAAGACATCACATACTAATCATACAATCCAATCATACCTGTTCACTTAATTTTTCAAGTCTTCCATTTATCTGTGAATTTCGCCGACTCATTTCATTGCTCAAAAGCTAAAAAATTCAATAAAATTCACTTGATGAAAAGTAACAGTATTAACCACATTTCAAACAACCCTGTACAAATCACAAATCGAACGAGACAAATTCATCAATTCAACTCAATTAACAATTATCAGCAATTATGGTTGATATGACAGTTACATAGTTACATAAAGCACAATCATCAGTCTCACATCAACACACCTTCTACTAATCCAACTAGAAAACTATCCACAATTCACGTTTTCTAGGCATTTCCATTGACTTCAATGTAGACTTTGTCACGTGAAGGTATCAGTTAGAGAATTATCGAAAACCAAGAAGCTCACCAGACAACTACTGTTCAATACTGGTGGATTCACAATGGATATCATGCTGATCTAATCAAAAGTCATTGTGTATGCGGTCCACTATCTCCGGTGTCAGACGCATACTCATCGATGGCACTCGTGAGCTGCGACATCACAGCCTGCGATATGGCAGAAGGTAAAATTAACAGATAACGGGGAATTCCACTCCAGTGACTGAATGCTTAACACGCTCGCCTCGATCCCACCCACATAAAACCCCTGGCATCGTTGAGGCTGCATAGACTTCGGTCTCACTCTTCTAAACCTCCAGTGTGGCTACCAGTCCACAGCCTCTACCAGCCAAGTACTATTCACTGCTTTCACACGCCCGATATCAACGTCTGGCGCTCTCTACCAAACTCGGCGACAAGCAGGTCTAACTAGGGAAGCTGGAAAACTCTCATCCCAAATCTTATCGTGCACGTAGGCTCCACAAACAGAAAACATTACCACTGACAATGGTGACGCAACTCCGCTGCTTTGCGGATCACACTTGAAATGAAAGGCTCCGAGAGTGATCACTTAACACAATTACCTATTACCTTTTTATTTTACTTCTATGTACAAACCGTTTCCTTTCATTTTTACAACCTAGGTTAATTCTATAGTCTTCACATTACCCAGTCATTTCCCTTTCTTTCAAATCTCAGCCTATCTCAACAATTACCACAGGGTGATTACTTGCTTTTCGAATGCTCACATCCAGTAAGATATCTAACATAGTTATCCTGAAACTGCTTGTACCGTTCATGCTGGCCATCTACAATTTTCGTACAATGATGCGAATCGGACAGCAGGCACTTCTGGTTGGAACACTCGCTATGCATGTCTTCTGTATTCCACAGGTCAGTATTCAACATTCCACTGAAGTGCTCCGAATATCTTCGACATTTGCAAGTCTAAGTGCTCTGTCACCTCCGTTTGTCTATCCGACAACCGACTTGGTGTCTCATTAAGCCCTACAACCGAAGCTACATTAATCAACTGCATTCCCACTGAAAGTTGTTGGTATGTGCTGTCAGGTTAGGAGGCTGCACCAGGGTGAAAATCGGTTAGCAACTGAAACTATGCCCATTTGTTATCTCTGCCTACGCACACACGGATTTCAGCCAGGATGCAATCAACGACGACTTATAATATCCCCTAAGTTAGGTTCTCAAACAAGAGCATTTGAAACACGCTGCAGTGCCAGCTGTGCACTTCAATCAACAAGGTCGGTTGTCTACGCTAGGAGGAGAGTCGTCCACGTGGTCACTGGGATTTACGTGATAACACTTCAAATAATGTGGAACGTCTTCCCCAACCCTGAAGTTGCCTGGTTTCTATCATCTATCAGCTACTCAGGCCTATCTCACATCGATCATATTGTCATCAGTTTCCAATCGCATCCATGAATACACGACTGACGCTCCTTCTCATTCACATAGGTCAACTCCGATCATATGACCTCTGAGAAGTACCAAAACTGACTGAAACTCAAGGCAAGCTACCAAACCTTCAGATACATAGCATAGATCAGCACTAGTTACATCCACAAGACTTCATGAAAATATCAAATTAAGTCGCCTGTCACGAGTTCCTTGCTTCTTCCATGAAATAACAAAACTAACACCATATGGAAGGCTCTCACACCTAAAATCCAAAGCGCCTTACATAAGCACTGTGTACCCGACTCATCAGAATGTGAGTGTCACAGGTAATCAGCAGTTCAATCTGACAATAGGCGGAAACTGTTCCACATCACCCAAAACACTCACACGGCAAGAAGGACGCTGAGCGAAACACTCTGTGGGGCACATCCGACGCTGATTAACAAACTGAAAAGACACCTGGAACGCTGAAAAGACCATTTCCACAAACAATTTAGCTAACCAACACCACTAGCATCCAACTTCATCAGCTACACCCATCCAATACACACAAACAAATCAAAGCGAAGATCCCTAAAGAACTCAAGGTGCTGAAATTCTGCAAGCTCATCACGCCAGACAATTCAACTCTTCTTTTGAATTCTCTCTCACAGAGAAGTCTTCCACAGATGCCTATCAGCATAATGAAATCCCCATTCAGAAACAGCTCATGTAGAGTTATGGCATACAACCAGCTAACTGTCAATGCTGTTGTCCACCAACACGGTTGCAAAATCTCTGCACTTATCTTCAACTTCGCCATCGATGACATTCTCGAGACATCTTGAGAGATGTGAGCAGTGGTTGTGTAGATCTGCGTTATGGGGATGTGCAGCAACTCTGTGTAATTCATCGTCGCTGCCACTGTACAACTCCATGCGTCTGGTAGCACTACTGTGGAAGTTACTATTTTTATTATCATTAGTTCTGAGGTCCAGCAGCGTGTCTTACCACTTGGTGAAGGCCATTTTGAAACACTGGCTCTAGTCACTTCGACATCTGTGAATGTCATCACGGGGACTAGCATACTTCTCGGCTGTTCTCCAGCCATGTCTGTGACAGGATGCAAAAGGCGAAGGAGTGGCAAGTCTATGACGTAGTGTCGTGGAATGAAGCATATCTCCACTAGCCAACCATCCGCTGGTTGATAAATCATGACACCCTGGGTGTAGTCCCACAGGAAATTCGAATCGGTAGTTTCAGACATCATCAGATATCACCAACGATCTTAATCAATGCCCAACATCTTACAATCTCTCTCTTTCTTCTCTTTCTCAAAATAAAAACGAATCGCCACAATGTCGTCTTGTAACCACCAAAATCATACCTAGATGCTTTGAAAAGCAGACAAATTACTCATATCAGTATTACGCCTGCATAGAAACATTTCACCTGAAATAGTAACAACTCTACCCACCAGGCAGTGTAAACTTCAACACCTACTCGATGTATTTACACAATTCGAATAACCTGTCTCATCTGAGGCAGAAAATCTCTCCCATGTATACAAATATATTTAGTCACATATCATCAAACTGTCTCCGTGTTTCATGATAATAACATAAACACCATCTCTAAACATTTGAAATCAGTAATATAAGAAATTAGTAAACAAACAAAAGGTGGACATAAAATCTACCTCAGTTAAATGCTTTGAATTGTCGATAACACTGCCTCGATGTCTTACAACAGCCAGAAGAACTAACGAGATGAATCTTTGCAGGATAAACTTCTTCTTCATACTTTGATATTCGCTTTCAGCTTTCAAGACAGCTAATCCCAATCCTTTTAGATGATTATTTACCATCACAACGGATGCTAAACATTCTCGAAAACCCAAATCACCTATTTCAATCAGAAGTAAGCAAGTAGGTAAGTTAGTATGTGAGTAATGGAACAATGCAGAGAGACACAAAGGATTATAATGCAAGGCTTCAAAACACAATTAAAATATGCAATAATCTAATCTCACAAATGATGATTGAACATTACCTTCAATAAGATATTTATACACGAAGCAAGTTAGTTGACGCAGTGTCTACTCTTCAAAATTGAAGCCAAATAACTAATCATCAACCTTTCTCGCCACGAAGAGAAAACTCAGTGAAACATGAAAATCATGTCTCATGTAGGTGGTGCAGGTGGGGGCAGCGGCAAGCATACACATTTATAAAGTGACAATCTCTTCCAAGATAAATACTAATACGATAACATCCACACTCACGACGTCCACCCCAATACTATTGAGTTAATGTCATCGACAGTCAACTTCCCTCTTCAGATTGAATCTAAATTAACCACATCCATAATCACTAAACTCATCAATCAATTCATGATTCATTTCACTTTTTCCATCAACAAGAATACACAAATATCACTACGTCATCTTCTGTCCTTTTAAGAAAACTTGGATTTTTTGGCCAAACATGACTAACACCACTCCACCTTTTATCTATTTTATAAGAACGTGTCCATGTGTGGTTACGTAACTCATTACTTTCTATACTCTTTCTATTTAAACTTTATTTCTACCCACAAAACATTTGTTGAACCCTGTCCTTTTGTTTCCATGCTTAGTCATCCAATTCTTCTATAAACAGTCGATCCTCTTCACCCTTAATTATTCAACAACTTACATTATTTCTGACCAATGTTACTCTCCGTTCCCATCAAATACTCACTATAATTGTAAAAAAATTTGTTCAAATCTCTAATTTAATTTATAATTTCGGTACTGTTCACGTTGTAACCAGTTGAAAAGAATTCAAGAAATGATGAAAATAAAAAACAAGGGCTCCGGTTATCCTGGTACATTTGTTATTCTTCCTTTGTTCAAATAATAACATTCTTTCGCTGACACTTTGAATACAATTTTCTTTTCTAACTTCCCAACGAATACACACCCACTTTACTCAATCAAAAGTGACACACATTATGAAGGAAACCATAACTGCTTCATAAGAAAATACACTTCACAAATGCAGAACATATCATACAAACGCGATAATCAACCCTACCCCCAACCACCAAACCACTGCAACTTTCACGTATCAATCAGTCAGAACTTTGCAGATATACAATAAGCAACCCACACTTTTAGATAAGCTCAAACCAGGATTTCTGTGCACATGCATACATGTTCCACCAAATACACTCTGCTTGAAACTCGCTTACTAGTAGGAACGCACTCAACAGTAGTCTTCAAACTCAAATTACACAGAACAGACCTTTCATGTACCAGACAGACTAAAAGCCACATTCATACCGCAATGGCTGGTCATACTACCCAGTTAGCTGTCCAGCTTCAAACATGTGGAACGAGACTCCACCCTGTCACCTATCGGTTGGAAACCGAGTGCTTACAACCGGTTGACTGACTAATCAGTCACATCCACACTTCAAACTATACTACAATATGTTTCACCAGCTACTGACATTCATCACAAGTCACAAACAACTGCTTCAAATACGGAGAAAGAGAGAGAGACAAAAAGTACTCACTTGACACAGGAACCTCAGTTCGCGTATCCACTCCTGGCTGAGATGAGTCTGGAGAAGAAGGTGGACTCATCCCAAAACAGCTCAATTCCACTCTACAAGATTCACCAGAAGGCGCTCCAGAAACACACCCTCGGTTGCGAATCAAAGAATTCTCCTTCGCTAACTTCTCCGCTTCACATCTCGCCAGAAGTTCTTCACGCTGACACAACAATTCGTGTAACTGCAACAATGTAAATACAACATGTTTAGGAATAATCTAAGCAGTCATCAGACAAACAATTCACAAAACTACGCCAAAGTTATATGTCGATAGTGTGATGAAAGCGATTTTAGTATGTAAGAGTTAAAGCTGTTAGAAAGTGTCTCCACCTCCTCCTCTTCCCCACACGAATACACTACTTAGTTCTCACTCCACCTCATAAAGAAGATTCCTCACACTGAGTAGAACACACCACTCCGAAATTCTAAAGCAAGCCCATTTAGAAAGTATCTGCTTCAGCTGGCTTCAACCCAGTGATTAAACAGGAGGACAGTGTAGAAAATCCTAGAACACTAAATTCACTTTAAATAAATTACCATACAAAATCATACGAAGACACTACGAGGAAGTAAAACAACAGAATGTTATAAGTCGTAAAAGAATTCAACCGGAAACAAGTGGCTATTGTGAACACATTCAAACAGTCACTTATTAACCTATTTCGAATAACAGAAAACAGAAGGAAGCCAACTACACTACACCCCTCACAATAGCTGCTTCAATTTCCACCAATTCTTCGCTGCATATGTGACATTATGTTTCTATCAAAACCTAGCTGAAAACTTGTAATCCACCAACACTTCTCTGCATACTAAAACCATATTTCATTCTTCACCCCTGACATGCTGCATCACAATACATGCTTTTCACAAAGAATCTTCGGACTAGTTAAATGTCGACCACACCGAGTTTGTTCACACGGCCCACGTGTACACAAGTATCTACACACATCAACTTCATCACTATTTCTAATACCTGACCCTCGAAAATCCTCAGCCGTAGACCTTCATTTTATCCTAACTATTATGCACACAACTATCATAACATTCATTCATAAGTCACGCACCCATTCCAAAAACACAATTTTATCGCATATGTCGCCTAATGTCTACCATAGACATTCAAGCAACACGTTCGCAGTTTCCACTCATTCCTAAGAATCACTCAGTATCTAGAACACAATTCAAAGCAAAACATCACTTCCACTCAAAAACCATGTATCATACCTGTGGAGTTAATTCAATATGACAACGAACCGTACGTTACGCATGAAATGTTATCCAGTAATACCAATTATATGAAGTACTTGGTAGAAAAACAATTCAAATATGTACCAACATAACAATCCCCATGACCAACTCTCATACGACCAATTTCCAAATGAACCTTGTAGCCTAACACCACTATTAGGAAAACTGCGAAAGACAGTCATCAATTAGGTGGATAATGCAACTTTCACTGTAAGGGTTTGCTTGCAAATCCGTAACGCCAGTAATGTCAAAGAAGCACACAAAAATCACATGAAACACTTCTCTCACACTAATCGATAAAAAGCCTAGCCCCTCTTTCGCAGATTTTATACATTTCTATCACACAACAACAAATACCGATGCTACGATTCCTTCCTTCCTCCTTATCATCTTAACCAAACTTCATCCTTATCCGATCTCATGAATGTGAAATCAAGCGTCAACAAATGTGTTTTCTACACTATATTTCACTGAGTTTATCCCAACCCCCTCGCAAAAAGAAATAAAGAAACAAAACAACGACAGTCTGTCAGTCAGTCAGCCAATCGTGTGATGGAAATAACTGTTCCCTTCAGCAAATAAAATGATTCACTTAAGCCACATTTTATCACAACAACCTGTCTGCTCTTAAAACTTGCAAAAACAGTACTGTAAAACCAACCAAATTGACTGAATTAAGTTGGACTAAACTGTAAGCGTCACAACTTTTATTTCAAGTCATGATTAATTTCTATGCATTGCCAAGGTGGCGGAGAAGAAAGTAACATGATTACCGCTACTAGCCTATTAGATTACGTAACTATCTCAAAACAATTATACTTCATAGGATTGGAATTAACTCATTCAGCTGAAATCGCTAATATAGATAGTCAGGCGATAAACTTAATGCAACCGACAACGAAGTGACACTGATTGTGCAATCATCCGTATTAGTCACTTCAACTCACCAAGCTAATTTCAATCCTATGAAGTATAATTTCTTTCGGATTGTTACGTAACCTTACAGACTAACACTGTTCATCATCTTTCTATCTTCTACACCTCATTTCCCCCTTCGCAATGCACACAGATCAATAATGGCTTCAACTAAAAACTGTGATGCTGACATTTCGGATGACCTCATTTTTATCCTCTACTCTTCTACCATCCCAATATTGAAGTTCCTCATTTGAATTCTTTTGTAACCATTGTAATTTCAGCTAGCCTACAGTTGATGAGAACCCACGAAGTAAAATGTCGTCGTTTTATATTGCCCCATCGAGATCTTTCTTGGGAGCCAAGTGTATAAAATCATTTCAAGAAATTAAGTGACGATGAGTGGTCGCATCTCTTTCACATACGCTAACCAAATATACTTGAAGATCTCCTTGCAATCATTTCAAAGTCCTACAACAGCGGCACATACATCAATAAGTCTATAAAGTGGTCACCTTCGAAAAACATCATGGCCTTGCATTTCAATTTATGCATAGGCAGTTTAGAAAAATACTTTCAAAAATGCCATCCCGTCAAACGTCCTCTGCTCCTTTGTCTTTCTCAAGTATTAAATTTAATACATAAGCAATCCAAAAATTAACACATCACAATGCTTGATATACATCATTCTGCTTCCACTTCCTCATATCATGCATGCAAATGTCACACCACTAGGCACCACCATTACGCTGTTTACAAATAACTGTACAACATCACACAATACCACCAATATATAGTTTATGAAATAACCATTGTGCAACTGCATCACATACCTTGGCTTTCAGACGACTGTTTTCCTCTAACAGTTTCTCATTTTCTTTACTCACGTGATCCATAGATTTCAATTTCTCCCTAGCATCCTTCAGACTTTCCTGTAAACTGAATCACAAAACAAATTATCTCATAAAACCCTTGTCCAACTACAAATTTCCACTACGACAGCATACAAATTATTCTTAATTTTCAAAACCTAAAATCAAAGGTTACAAAACCACAGTGGATTTCTGTTACTTCATCTCAACTGACTGAGCAAGAACATTGATTCTGGCAAGCCCCACACATCACCGGTAGCCAAAGCTGTTCAAACGACAACTCAAGAAGTTTACGCAACCACCACGAACAATGGTGGACGACAACAGCAGAAGAAATGAAAAAGGCAAACCACAAGTGAGACACTCTGAGAGAAAACTGGCGCTTTAATTAGGTGTCAGGATAGACAACTAGAACGTTGAGGCGAACATCTTCAGGAGAAATGTAACTGGCTCACAGCCACGCTCAAATTTTTCCACCATCCAACACCTACTTAGATGCCGTGTAGATATCGATCCTACACATGTAACTCACATCACAAAGACTGTCTCTAATCTCAAACAAGGAAAAGCAGCACCATCCCCAATGGGACCACACCACTGGTGTTTAACTACGGTGACAACAAACTGCTGTCTCGGTTAGCTAGGGTATTAGGCAATGTCTAGGAGTCACACATACTTCCGTCACACTGGTTTAAGTCACTGATTGTCCCTGTTTATTAGAAAAGAGACAAGTCTTCCTGTAATAATCAATCAAAAGAAGATTAGCTTCACTAACGTGGGGTCTGAAGTTCTAGGCTCAAAAATCAAGCCGAGATTAAATGCTGCTCGGGAGAGAGTAACACGGGGAAACCAGACAGGCTTTAGGCCAAGAACACAGTGACTCCAACATATCTTCATCCTTCAACACATTCTCGAACATAGACATACTTACCGGCATCCAACAATTGACACATCTCTTAACCTCAAGGCGGCATCCGACATTGACTGTCAAGGCAGTGTACAGAAAGTATATCGCACTAACTGACGCAATCCACTCGCGCTAATCAAGCCGTGTAACAGCTTACAGAGAGTTGTCATCTCAAGCGGTGACATCCAGCGATGTCCATCACGCATGCCTCTTGTCCACACTTCTCTCTAGTTACACCTTACATGTATTGATGCAGTCCACCCTATTTCACTTCAGCGACTTACGGATTGACTTGGTATCAACGAACAGTCCTGTCAACTCAGACTATGCAGATGATATAGTCCTCCCACATGCAGATACTGATAAAATCAACAGTCTTCTCAATACCTTGACCAGAAGTCTTCGAATGTTTCGCATGCAATTTGCTCCTATCAAATGTAAGATAATGGAGCAGGAATGGATTCAACCAACTCCTCGCACAAAGATACCCGGGCAATCGAGTGCTAGAGCCTGCTGAATACTTCACTTATTTGGGAAGTTGCATCAGCCACAATGCATTAAATGATTGCCAACGGAATCTCATCACACATACAAAAGGCTCGTGTGGGATTTGCCAACATACGTTGTCTCTCGTGTAGACAGGATATTTGGTTACTGATCAAAGCACGTGTGTACTGCCCAGCAGCAGTTCGCTCCGTCCTCCTTTACCGTCACAAGGCATGGTCACTGAAAATGGAAGACATAAAAATCCTACCTGTCTCCAATCATAAGCGTCTGCGTCCTATCTCCCATCTTAAATCCCATTATATGGTGAACGATATTCAGGTTAAGCGAACTGCTAGGTAAGGAGGGAGAGTCGAACGATGAGGCTGTGAAGGTGAACCAGTCGATATGACCAGGACACGTGTTGCACATTCCGAGTTATCGCCTTCCTCAACGAGCAATGTTAACCGACATATGATTCAGTTGGGAAGCAGTTTGAGGTGGTCAAACCAAAACCTCACATCATTCCATGCAATCTTTGACAAGTAGTTTCAGCTACGTCGGGAGGGAAACGTACGCTGTTTGGTTGGTGTCCTCGGGATGCTATGAACCAATGACTCGAGACAATTGGTGATATGGCTCAAAATCGTTCTCAATAGAGCAGATGCACGTACACCCTGTCATCACCCATATCCACCAAACTGTCATGTTCTCCATGTTACTAATCTTTCTCCCTAACATTCCTAGTTAGTAAACTACTTTGAACCCTTCTCTTCTATCTCTGTCGTCTACTTCGGTGTACTACATGCAATGTAGCAACTTAAAATGCTGCACTTCTCTACTAACTTCTATGTTCAGACTCATTCTCAGTCAGAAATTTTCAAATCCCACTAGAAGTCTATATATAAATGACGCTGAGCATGATCATGCTTTTAAACATAATACAACTGCATATGTATGCATAAATTACAACTTACTCATCAACAAGATTCGACCGCTTTTCATGATGTGAACGCATTTCACGTCTCTGCAAACGAACCTCAAGCTGTTTTGCTCTTATTTCCGAATCTTTGAGCTCTGAATTTAGACAATTCAGTTCGCACATATTTTCTTCATACAAACTCCGGATCTCCGAGAGTTTTGAAGACAAACTTCGTATTTCATCCAGTTTAGATAGAAATTGACCCTAGGTAAAAGGTATACAAGTGTAAATCAATAGTAACTCTCACACTTACCTCCTCATCCATAATGTAAGCTGTTAAATTTTGGATATCAATTAGTCAGATTTGTGATGACAAATACTTGCTCAAGATGAAATTCTGTTGCGCAGCTCACAGAGAATATAAGTCGTTAAGGCACCATACGACGACGAACCACTTCAGAGTTGGGTGAATCGTTTTGGTGAATTACGTATAGACGAACGAGATTAGCAGAGTTGACCAAACGCAATACAAAATACTGTCCTGAAGCCCGTAATCTCAAAGCGCCCGCCCACAACTTGTGCGCCTTTTCTCGATATGCTGAAACAACTCGATTTGGTTCAAAGTATAAAAATCCTTCACATTAGTTAGCTAACCTGCCTAATTTAACACGAAAACAGAAAGCGAATTCGGCCATCAGTAAAACCGTCGGTGGAATCCCAGCTATTTGCTTTCAAGTTACCCATAAAAAACTCTGGAGTCTTATATTTCTATTCCACTACCATTCCTAGAAAACTCCCTAGGTTTCTTTCACCGGTATTTCTCAATCGGAAAACAGGTATTCTACGAAGTAGCAGTGGCAGCAGCTGCATTGTGTGCTGGAATTCACTGTTTTAGTGACACGCCACGGGTGACAACCACACCATTCAACCCACTGTCGTGTTCTCTTCGGTGGCGCCTGAACAATTTACAGATAGGTGGGCAAAGTCTTGATCGGACAACGCTGATCCACATTTCGCAATATCGAATTGTTTTTCTCGCTTTTTATCAATCATCATTCGCGTCGTGTGGTTTTGACCAGTTTATCCTCTTTGGGCCATGATATACACATGCCTTAACCTTCATCGTGTTACGTACATTGTACCAGCTCTGTGAACATGTCTGTGTGTTCCACCATATATTCAGTTCTAATGATCTCAGAGAGTCTCGCTTGAGCCATTTCACTGAGTGATGTTAGTGGTTCCGAGTGAACAATTTATTGCACTCTTACATATAATTAAGTCTTTTGGAGTGAGTTATGGCGAATAGACTTGCGTATTTGTCGAAGATGCATTTGAACCGTTCAGATATCTCACAAATCTGACTCGAGAAGATAACTAACCTCATAGGTTTCTTTATTAGGCTGTGATGGACTGAGTCCTAGTCCCTGTTCACTTCTTGGTAACCTGAATGAAAAGTCCTGATTTCATAAGTGGTGAAGTTTGCTGCTGACTAACGCCACACAGATGGTACTTTGATAGTGCTTCTGTGCAACTTTGAAATAAGTAGTGCCTGCAATCTGCTTGGATGGCGAAAATGCCTTAGTACAATCGTTATCGTATCGTTCACACATCCATATTTGTCAAATATGCTCTCAGACATTAAGTTTGTTTCGTTCTGTACTTCTGGCGACTATGCTTATTAGACTGAATGACACGACCGATCTATCTTCTCTCATTTTGAAACAGCAATGCAGACACGTAACTGCCATATGCGTAAATAGGTTTCCACAGATATACCATCACAAAACAACGTTCACTTATCCCGGCAGCCACACATGTGTTGCATCAGAAATTCAGCCGTTATACGACACGGCACTAGGTCATACTGAAACAGTCAACCGCATATGCTGGAGGTATTGTTGACAGCCTCATCACTGACACTAGTTACCTATTTCAGTAAACTTTCGTGACTGACTCAACTACTTCATGAATGATTCGGATCATGGACAGGTTGCACTAAAACCAATTTTTACATCACCTTGTCAGTTTGACAGTGGTATAGCAATCTATTCATTTCATCACATGAGTCTTCAGCCTTGCAGTCGGAGAAATCTCCTGCAAAATGGTCAATCTGCCGCACCTACTCCGACACTTACGGTGATGGCAAGAATGGATCAATGACATGGGTTGGGAGATATCCTTCCCGTGGTTTCGAGTCATGCTCCAGCAACTGATCTGTTGATGTCGCAACTCAAAAATACTCAAGACACTCCCTGTCCATCATTTCACAGTGCAGTGATCTCACCTGATGTCAACACTATTACTCTGTCGACTAGGCGAAGTCAAATCGCGAGCTAGATGCACTTGGTCGTCTCTGACATCGTGTTTCTACTTCATATTCAACAGCAACCTCAAAGTCTAGCTCAGGTGGTTAACCAGGCCAATTTGTTATGACGCAATCACCAATGTGCATTACAGTTATATAAACGAAACTCGCCTAACCATTACTCTGAGTTACCAATGGTGTGTATATCGCCCATAATCTACCAACCTTTAGTCCTCAGCATCATCTGATAGTCACTTTGTATGGATGCTAACTTTTCTCATTTTTTTATATGAGTCAGGATTTTAGTCCCCACAGCGAATATCGTTCGGCGAAGAATTACCCAAGTTGTACAATCGCATAAATAATAGATTTTCTTAGCAACAAAAGGAATCTTTCCAAAATGTTTTATTATGTCTGAAAATTTTAGAACGCAAATTACCTAATATGGAAAGCGTTAATCGGGCGGGAACTAAAATAAAGTAAATAAGTTGTGTGACGAAATATAATAATAACATATATTTACATATAAACATATAAATTTACATGAAAATGCATGCCATTTTTACAGGCACGATCAAGTATGATAGAATCTCAAATCCTAGATGTCTACAAGTTAATAATGTTTCAACAGCTAAATATTTGATATATATATATATATATAATACACTCATTGTCTGAACCAGGCCGTATCATTATTGAATTGTACAGTAGTCCTCGGGAAAATCGACTTCGTTTCATTTTCAACCCGTGGTAGTAGGCACAAGATAACCAACCAATATTGAGGTAAATACAACGTTTACAAGGGATAGTAAGCTGTTTTAGAAAAGTAAAGGTGCAAAGGTGAATCATTAAAGTGCAATGAAATAGGTAAGTGTAATGTATCATTAATAGATGCATTCATAAAGGAAATACAATGGGAGACTATAATCCCTAGGCTGACAAATTTCATTTGCAATGTATAATGCTACACATATAGGTCTTACTATCATGATGTCCACTTTTGGTTTTAATACAATTATCCACAAGCCGGTTGTTTTAATTTGATACCTTTTTGTGTATTTGGTGCACAACCGTACCCTATATAGAATAGGAATAGAATAAGTCGAATCAAATTCATAAAGAGCTATAAAATGTTAGGTTTAATGGAATATAATGAGGAGCGAAGAAAGAAGTTATTAGAAAATGAATCAGATGAGACATTGTGAAGTGATATTCAAAGATTCGACAAAGGAAAGCATGTTAATTTATAAGATGCCCCATAAATCTGTGCAGAGCCCACGTGCTCGCATCTCAAAAATAGGCTGAGCGAATGGTATATGTTTAAAGGCAGAAGCATCATCTATCTAGGCGATCATTATTATCTTTTTCAATATAACGATCATAGCCCTCATAAAAATCTCGAGCCGTCAAATCGCATATTGCTGTTCCTGCAGAATGGGGCGATTCACCTTAGTGTCCACCACAATATCTACTGATTAGCATGCGCCACCCTCCCTCCTTTTATGAAGTTAGGCCCTGAAACTATGATTGTTATGGCTACAGCAAATATACTGCTTGGTGCCAGACACGTTCGCACCTCATATTCCATTTCCCTGGCTTTCTCAGTTAGTGCTTCCAATAGGTCTCCACGTACATCTTTATGGACATATTATATATATATGCACGCGTCCTAATGAATAGATTAGTTTATAAGAAGTTAAAACCTTAAAGAGTAAAAAGAATAGATTTTGTGGATAGTGGAGCCAGACTCAGCAGGACACTATAGTTCGGGTTCAATGTAGGAAGTATGAACTGAAGGTGAGGTCGGTTGGCAGGACTTGTTATACTAAATTATCAAGACAGTCTTATATAAAGTAAACATTTGTCATTGCAAAGTAACCTGTCTACACATATTATAAAAAGATAACACAGAACTAACAAAATTTTAACATTTGTTTAACAATACTGCAGTGTGTATACTGAAGGAGGGTAGTTAGTCTCACAGGGAGCCGCAAAGTAAATCAAACTAAATTCGTTAACTCTCGCATTCTGCCTATTATTCTCTATTGTTCACCCTTAGTTTTTCTCGGGCTACTGAAGAAAGACTATAACATATTACGCAGGATGTTCAAGGTTGTCAGCAGGGTAAGCAACGTGCCACTTAACCAGCTTGTTAATATTCTGGTCGACAGGCACATGGACTCATGTGAAAAATGGGCCTAATCCATTTTATCTAACTCACAGCACCCTCTTCACTCACAACTCTCTCCTTGCATCTCATCAGGCAAAACCAGAAGCCTACATAGAAAACTATATGCTCGCACCAGCAAGTACAAAAACTCAACCATACCCTACTTAGCTCGTGTTCTGTGCGATAAAGAAAGCACTAGGCGTGACACCTATAATTCATTAAATAGTCAGTAGAACAACTGGATCTCGTCTTTCCAACTCATATCATCAATAGGTACAACATTTTCCTTCTTTCTTTTCCTTTTCTCTCTCTTTTTTCCGTTATGTGCTGCTTTGTTTCTTTCTTCCGCTTACGCCAGTAAATATGATAGCATCTACTTTTCTAACACCTTCAAAGACTGTTCAACTTTGGCTTTGCTACCGACATGCCAATATGTTGTTGTCATAATGAACTCAGATTTCCTTATTCTATGCAGAATTCTATTTATTGATAATGTACTAACTGGATGCAATACTGTAGTAAAAATGCTGAGAATTCCATTCTGTATCACAAGTACTGTTTTGGAATAAAGCAAATTATTTATTATGATAAGAGTATAATCAATATTATAATTCGTATTATCAAAGAATACATTCAGCTCAATAATTGAGTGTTATAAGGGAAACAAGCGTGGTAAAGCAAGAGGACACTCGCTGCATAAATATTTTAATCATTTTATGTATTGTAATGACAATCAAATTTCAAGGGTTGATCATGCATAATTACTAAGTACTATTATTAGTGATGGGACTAGTGTGCTTTCCGTAGTTAAATATTGAAATGTCATTGTTTCACCACTCTACCAGCAGTT